GTGAGCTGATGTTCATAATACATAATTGTGAAATACTGCCCAAAATAAATAAACTTCTATGTTATATATGCTAAAGAGCGAAAGCTTGCTGTAAGTAGCACATTATAAATTAGAGAAAATGACTGTGTCAGTGATAAAAAAAAGCATTTGATTTAAATGTACCTGCTTGCCATCTTTTGTCTTTTAACAACCAACAACTTTACAGTCAACAGCAATATTTTTTTTATTTGTATACATTTGGGCAGCAGTGTTATATGTGCCATACACTACTTTGCTATATGTGTGATTTGTACAAGAATGTAAGAAAATCATTATCCAATGTCCGGAAAGATTTCTCAATCAGATATTTCGTACCATCAACATACATGGAGATACTTGAGCTGATGTGCTGGCTTATAGCTCTAGAGTATGAAATAAACAGTGTGGGTCCCAGAACTGACTTGTGAAACATTATTCGTTATTGTCTTTTACAGTAAAAAGTGTTTCCCCAATCTTACAGTCAGCTTTCTTCATTTTACAAACATTTTTTCAGAGGCTTTATCCACTGAAGCAATTTTCCAACTATTCCAAAGTGTCTGAGTACATGTGCAGTGCCTTAGCAGAGGCTTTTGAGAACTGTGAATATACTACTTCCTTTGGAACTTTGTGGGCTTTGACATTGAGGTTGTGACAAGGTTTATCACAATGGATTGTCCAGGTATAAATCCATGTTGCTCATCTCAATATGGTCTTTTCTCAAGTCAAATTCAAGTATTTCTTTGGCCAGGATTCATTCTACTTCTTTTCAGATTATACTTGTTAAGTTTATAGGCTGATAATTTCCCAGTTCCAGCTCAACCCCCTGCTTATGAATAAATGTCACCCTTGCAATTTTTCAGTCTTTGGTAGTATCCCAGTGTGTAATGATTTTTGGAATACCTCATTTAGCATCAGTAGTATTTCAGTGGCACATTTCTTTACCAGAATAGAAGAGATATCGTCCGTCCTACTTCCTGAGTCCTCTTCCAAAGCAGAAGGTTTCCATAGTAATGGATGTGGATATATTTGGTAAAATTTTCACTTTTTCATGGAATAGAAACTCTGGAATCGTTTTGGAATTTTTTCGCAACTTCTTGTGAATTTGTGTTTCTCATATTTCACATTTCTTACCTTTTATGACACATCAACTGTAATGGAAAACAAATTGCTTATACATGTATATAGTTAATTAGAAAAAAAGTTATTGGCCAATTGTTTACTTGGATTTTATCCTCTGTCTCTGGAGTTTATTGTTAATCTGGTTACACAGTTTCTTGTATATTGTTGCATCTAGTCAACAACAGTAATTCTCATGTAAGTTTTCCACTCTTTTGGTTTTTCATTGAATCTTTCTAATTAACTGCTTTGTCATTCATAGTTTTCATTTGCTAGGGTGCCTTACCCAATCCGGGGAGATCTTTTCCAGTGTATTCATAGGCACTGTTTTCATTATTTGTCATAAATCATCAATTCCCCTTCCATGAATACTGGTTCTCATAGTTTAGAGGGAAACGTTCCTCTTTAATAGCCTCAAAGCTCACAAGCCAGATGGCCTGTGTGGTTTCTTCTGCGTGATAATCTGAATTATAAACCTGGTGATCACTACTTCTGATTAAAGAGTTAAGCTTTGGTTTCATGAGAGCTGTAGGATTATTAGTCCTAACCAGATCCAAGATTGCTTGTCTCTGCCCTTCTCTAAATCTTGTTGCTTCAGTAATAAGCTGCATTAGCAATATATCATAAAACGCTGTCAGAAATTCTCTTTTTCTGCAGGTAGGGTGTTAAAGGTATTTTGATGTGAGCACATTGTGATTGAAAGCTGAACATCCCTTCAATGATTACTATGTTTTTCAATTCATTTGCCTCTCGAAGTCTATCTAATAAAGAAATATCTTGGTTTAGAGTCATTGTGGGTGGCCTGAAAACTACACCAAAGTTTTGACAATGACGACGAGCCGAAGTGCTTCAAGATATGTGTTGTGTATTAGCTCATGGGTGCAGTTGTGACCAGATTACCATTGATTTCGTTCTTCAGGTAGATTGTGGCATCCCAACTTGCTTTTTCTATTGGATCAGGAAAGTTCAGTAAAGGTTTGGTAACCTGTCAAACCTATCATCTGATCTGTATTTTGATTATTTAGCCAATTCTCGGTCAGAACTGTAACATCTGATTTCTGTACTAGTTTTAAACTGAAATTAAGCAAATTCTGACATGAGATTACCTAGATTTGGTCGTTCTTTATTGAGATTACACCAAGGACCCTATTTGATGCTGATGTTTGTTGATGGAGAAAGGTGCGTGCCATATCTGAAGACCTAAACCATCTCAAGGGGATGATCCTTCTCTGGTTTTCCCAATTGTATCCCTTGTTGGGTTTCTTCCTCAAAATTCGTCGGTGGATTCTTATCAATATTTATTCCTTGTTTAGTTATTGTCATTGTCTTGTGGATGTCTTCTCTCCTGGTTCCTGAATTTCTGCTAGTAATTTCCTGGACCCCATTGACAGTAATGTTTTTCAATTGCTTATATCTCTCCTCGGTTTCTTCAATATGGATTATATCTGGAGTTGTGTTGGTTAGGTTTAAATTATCACATTGTTTCTTGATTGAATTGTTTCTATGTCAGAGTTCAAGTTTTTGTATTGTCATTACTTTCACTGTATTTGATCCAGTTTTCTGACTTGCATAGATTAGAACTTCACCCCCTCATTTGTTTGTCTGATCTCTGTGATTGCAAATTGAAATTCCTCATGCTTCTGTTGTAAGTTTTTCATAAGTTATAAGGTCACAAAACAATAATGACAAAGCCATTGCAAGTTAGTTTGAAATTCAGAGAATTCTCATCATCTACTACTACTCACTGTTGAGCAATAATATTTCTCACTGTATGGAATGCAGTGTTGGATTTGCAAATTTGTGTTGATATATTAGCTATAAAAGAATTAATTTTTAGCATGTAATGCACTATAATAGATAACGTTTTACAAGTGATCGTTGGAATATGTAAATACAGGCAGTAATTGTGGTTTTGTATTCCATAAACATTACTAATGTGAAAAATTATGTGCTGTTGTAGCATCACTAATATGACCCTCTTTTGAAGATCTTCACAAGGGTGTCTACTTTATTGTGGATCGATATTACTTTCTTTAAATTTAGCATTGAATTGTGCTTGACGAACTCGCACCCAGATGAAGCGGAAGATATTATATCTATAATATTTACAGCAGTAGAATAACAACTAACAGTTTTTGACTGTTTCCCTTCCAGAATTTGCATGTATTAGTGTGATGTGGCACATCACTCACAAGTCACTTTTACAAATCCGAATTGGTAGTTTTTCATGACCTTACAGTCAATAGTCCTAGCGGATTTTTGTATGTGCAAGTGTTTGATATTATCATGGTCTGTAGAAGTAGTGTAGGAGCTTAATGTCATATTATGCAAGCTCAACATTTGACCACTAGAATAAACTACTCCTTTTTTAAAATATCAGGAATGTTTCCAAAAGCAATGATTGATTTATAATATTGATGACAGATTTCCTGAAGACAATCAAAGCAAAGTTATTCAATAAAAAGAAACTTCGTTCACATGCCACGTAATACACAATGTTTCATGACCACATCGATCACATCTTGTGGTGAAAACAATCTATGAATTGGAACAAAAATAGATGAGTCAGCAAAAGAGATGTAAAAGCTCAAAGTTAAAATTGTGTGTGTGCGTGTGTATGAAAGAAAAAATTTAAAATCTATTGGATACAAAATGTTTATAGAATATCCCTTTACTTATTACAATTCTTTTCACAATGTCCACAAATGTGTTGAGTCGATGTACATTTATTGAATGTGGGCGATCTGTCTTTCAATTATTATTAAAATGTTCTAAAGCAGAAATAGATATTGATGTTATGAATATTGTGCCTGGTGATAGGAAGCAATTCTCTTGGGATACTGTTTTTTCTGGTAACATAAAGCTTATTCTTACTAACTTTTGCCCAAAGAGCGAATTTAGAATAGTAGGCATGCACCGCCTGGGGGGGGGGGGGAGGACTGCATTCAGGGCCCCCTTCTCATTAAACTTTTTCTCTATTTAATACTATACACAATAGTAAATAAGTAAAACATTTTGTGAGGAAAATGAAATTATAAATTAAATAATGCATTTAATAAACACAGTTGATTGTATATTGAACTATTGCCAGATGGCTTGGAGAGCCTCTCCCCTAATGTCTTATAACAATTCCTCAAATTGTTAGATTAAGAAAAGAGGCAAATCAGGGTTAGAACATATTTACAGAAATATAATAATTTATTACATGAAGCTAGGGGGTCTTTTCAAAATTTTTAGGGGGTTATGGTTCTTTGTGTCTGCCTCTGCCCTCCATCTCCTGCACATAACTAAGAGTAGTGATATTTGAAATTGTGTATTTTGAGCATAAACTTTTTTCTTCTATTTAATATTACTCAGCATTTTATGGCCAGAATGTATTTTGCTTATGCTACTGCCCTTTCCCAAGTATTAAATTCATGATCAAAAATCATCTGACAATGTACATCATATTTATGATTTGCTGTTGTTGTTTTTTATATCAATGAGTCTTTATTAAGGAAATTACTTGCTGGAATCTTTTCTCTTTTCACAAAAATAGAATAGAATTAAAACAAATTTTTTACGAAAATAGAATTAAATAATGTGGAATATTTCAATGTTGGGATTACATTCTGTGTATTCATACCTAATACTTTCAGCTCTTCATGAAAGTGATGTTTTCAAATGTGCTTGTTGTATATTGTTAAATTGAACAATTCCTTGGAAAATAAAATATTTGCATTGCTTTGACAACTTATGTACATGATAATCTGTTTTGTCTTTCAAGTTAATGGAGGAAGAAATGTAATATGTGATAAATGATTTTTACAACTTAAGTTCTTAGAATGTAAGCTATTAATATATTTTTTCTTTTATGTTTTATTTAGGATAGGCCAAGTATCGAAATTTATCGACCTGGAATGGGACGATTCAGCATGCAGCGGAAGGAGCGTGAAAAAAATGCAGGGGTTGGTAGTAGTACAGAACAAGAATCACCATCTAATAGCCCCTCTCCAACACCATCAAGTCGTCTTATTAATAGCTCAAAGGGTTTAAAAAACAGTCAGGAATTGCGATCAATGACTTTCAAAAGAAGTGTAAGTCGAGAAAAGTAATGCAATTGCTGCCCGAAATCTTCAAATTTTCTTAGTTGAATATTTTGAGATTGCTTTGAAAATTCAACCAAAATTATGTTCCTGTTCTTTTATTTTCATTTTAAGTATATACTGTATTAAATAGCTTTTATAATTTGTCTTTGATTTATCAATAATTTAACTTCCTTTTGATGTGAAATAATTTCATTTTACGTTTGTAACATTCTCATTGTATAATATGTATTAGTGTAATGATTATTCTTTTATGAAATATTGTTCCTTCTGAAAAGAAAAGTTGTTCTTAATGTTTGTTGTACTTCTTTTTTCCGTCTTTCCCTTTTTTATAAATGTATTATATTGAATTCATTATCAATAAATTAATTATTTTTCCCCCCTTTTTTTACTTGCTATTTTCATACTTGAGTAACATTTATTAAGGTTGCAAGGAGCTATTTTTTATGTTTCTTAGTTGTCATATTTCTCTCTTATGATGTTAATTTGGCTTAAATTTAATCAGAAATTTACAAAAATTAAAAGTAATTAATGAATGTAATCCAAAACTGATAAGATATATCAACTAATACCTGGAATAGATAGCTGAAATTTAAGAAATGTCTTGAAGCTTTGATTTTCTAACAAAGAGAATTGGCCAAAGTGAAGACCCATTTATTGAGACTCGTAGCAAAAACTATTTATATTTACATGTTCTGGTCATTTCCTATTTGATCATAATATAATGAAGTAAACCTTGTCACTAGCATTCTGTTTACAATGTCACAATTCTTTTTAGTGTTTGTAGTAGGAATCATTTTTTTCCAGAATTGTTAAGCTCGAGTGGACAACGAAGCAAAGAAACAACAAAAACTTTCATTCTTAAAATAAATGTATAAAGCAGCATGGGATAACAGTGTATGGGCTGAAGCATTCCCACTTCATAGAAAAATTTAATTAGGGAGGGCTGTGCCACCAATTTCATTGCTAGTTATGTTTCTACAGTTAGCTTTTTCACTCAAATAGGTCCTACTAAGACTATTTCCTGAGAGTTGTAACCTAAACCTGTTACTATCTTAAGTTTTTTGTGATGCAACCAATTTTCGCTATCAGAACTTAAAAACTTTTGTTATAATCAAATTAAAATTTTCATTCATCTCTACAAGATCTGCAGCACTTAGGCCTAGTACTCAACTCTCAAGAAGATGATTATTTTAAATGTAAATACAAGTGTTGATGTTTATATTACGTTATATGGCCAAATATCGTGGAAGTGTGTTATGCCCAAACTTGATATTGTTGCTAAACTTCCCATTTCAATCATAACTAGTGGTGCTATAGAATGACACAGACTTTTCTATATTAATTTTCTATTTTCATTGGTCTCGGCTAGCTATTCGAACTTGCCACACACTCTTGTCATTGACGCTGGTCAAAGTACATTTTTTTTACTTTATCTTAATTTTTCAGCTTCCTAGTTGTAGAACAGAAACATTATTTTTATGAACATAAAAGAACATTAAACCTCATCCTAAATGGCAATTTTACTTGATAAATTTGGAGCCGTTCTTAAGACATTTGGTCAGCGCTGCTGTAAATTTGAAATTTGAACCCTTTTTTTATCAGAAAATTTATGAATTTTCGAAAAATTTAACTAGGAGTCATTTGGGGCACTTAAACTCACAAATTGCGAGTAACAAATAGTAATTGCTCAAAATGAGCATAACGGCATGAGAGATCTTTCAAAATAATCACGTGTATGTGTGTGTGTTTTTTAAGAAAATTAAATCAAATTAAAAAGGCTTTTACGTCATAATGAAGCGTGCAATTAGCATTATCCATTTCCGAAAAGTTGTAAGAAGCAAATTGAACCCTTTTTTGAGAAAATGGCGTCTGAGCGTTTCTGGAATTGCGGAATTTTGAGCTAGATTTCACAGAAAACTGTTAAGTTTTTGAGAAACTTTATTGTCACTATTTAAAGTACATGTACTCAAACATAATGTGAACAAATCACCGCTAATGTAAATATTAACGATGTGAGAGGCAAGTCCAGAAAATTACTTTATTGGATTTTTTAGAAAAACAAAAGAATAAAGCAATGTGATGTTTACGTCATAGTATAGAGTACATTTAGCACTATCCCTACCAAAAGTTTAAAGAAAAATTTGGAGTAGTTTTTGAGAAATACTTGTTTTTGTTATTTTGTAATATTGCGCCAAAACTACTAAAATTTTCAAAAAAATGTACGTGACCTTAATGAACGAATCTTATGGAGTACAAATTTTATTTGAAGGGAAAATATCTCTTCAATTTTGTAGTCGCCCAAACAATTAAAATTTTCGAAAACTGAGAGTTAACCCTAAAAATAGGTCCTTTGCCACATTTATAAGTGTATTTTACTATATTTTACAAGAAATTTAAAGACAAAATTGGAAATTTTGAAAACGTCAAGTTCAAGTACCCTCAAATTTTTGAAGAAAGATTTTCAAAATCGCAGAGCGGCTAGTCAAGCAGCATCGACTAGGAAATATTGATTTTCGAAAAATCCCTAAGTTTGGTTTAGGCGCTAGTGGTGTTCTTAGAACCAGATGATAACGTTCTTTTTCCAGCACTGACAAATCGCAACTTCACAAACCCAAACCTGAGATAGGTAAAACAGGAAGGGGCACGACAATTCATGGCTGTCTTGCGGTATGCTTTTCAAGGTCAATTAAATTCCAGATTTAGAGACAACTAGCCAGCGTTGTCACTATATTTGACTACGTCTGACTTCTTATGCGAATATCTGAAGAGTCGAGCCTACACTACAAGCCCTCACCCACAGATCTTCAGCGCCTTTTATAAAAGCCTGGCAGGAAATTCCCCTGGACAATCCTTGGTTCAAGGTTGCACAATCCTTGTGTTCTTCACTTAGTTATTTCCATACACACGACTCACTTGATTATTTATTTACACTATTCACTTCTTCTTATTATTTACTTACACTTCCCTTCTTTTACACGATGCATTGTTCAAAATTCACTGCCTTGGCTACAATTCACGGCGCTGATCACGGTCCTTTGCACTCCTGTTCACCGCAATGCACACTTCATAGCTCAGCTTCCACATCAGAAAGACTGCATACTCTCACTGACTGGCTCGCGGCCGCCGTCAGCGGCGAATTTATATCAGGCTGGCACCCGTCTCGATTCATCCGGAACTTGCGCCACACTTCTTCGCGACTAACCCGGAACCGTCCAGAAAGCTTTTGTGCGGATGAAAAAACGCCAGAGGACTGTCCATGAACCCACTTGTAGGCAAAATTCAGTGTCTAAACATAGAATTGAACTTAATCATTCTTTCGATTTCCTAAAGCCAAGAATTCTCGATGTTGCAATACGTAGGTATCCGCGTCTTTTATCAGAAATATTCGAAATTAAAACTCATGACTCAATTAATAGTCATTGAGAGCAACATGTTCACAAGAAATTACGATTCCCTATTACATAGATGTAAGACTTCGTTCTTAAACTTAGTTTTTTTTCTGTCAGTTCAAATACCACGTTTCTTCACTTTCACAGTACTCTTCTCTCTTACTTCTCAGACCCTCTTCCTTCTTCCACCTCATATTCCCCCTCTATGTAACCAATGTAGTAGGATCTTTCCAAGGTTCTTTCTTTCATTCACACCTCTTCTCTTGCCTGAGTCACTATACTATTTTGCTATACTATTTTCTCAAAATATGAGCTCCTGCTTAGCTTTTGGTAAGTGCTGGTTAAATATCCTTAAAATGTAATTACATTGAATTTTATTTACTAATAGTTTGCATTGGTTCACATATTCCTTGTAATTGTGTCATGGTATTTTGAAAATTGTATTGTCCTATTTTAGCCTAATGATGGGGACAATCGAACCCTGAAACTGTTGAAAACAAAAATGACGTGGCTCATCAAATAAAATAAAGTTTACATATTTCTGTCTATAATTAGTCTTTGTATTCCCTTCCTTCAAGTTAAAATGAAACCTAATTATTTATCTTGACATATGCACATCAATTCAGTCAGGTTCTAGTACGAACTATTTTTTATATAATATGTATAACTGTTTGTATCTATAAGGCTTGAGAGCGGGTGTGGGCAATACTAGGAACACTTCCTGCCTCGCTCCGTTCGACTTTCCAGGAGCTCGCACAAGCTATTGCACAAGATAATTGCTTCAACGAAGTTAAACTTGAAGGTAGCATCATAATTTCTACGATTCAAAATATCACACAACCATATAATGTAGTTTGTTAATCAATAATTATCTTGCTTCCAATTTAATAATCATTTGCAAAATTCACTACTATTCTTCGAAATCAAAAACCTGCGGCCGAGAGCACTGCGCATCCCAGCGCCACACCACTCCCCCCCAGTCACAATTCTATTCTTCCCGAGGCAACAGGTATAATGCTTCGTGTGGCAATGCCATCAATCAAGTGTTATTTAATTGCTAAAGAGTATAGAAAAACCCTGCATTATCTGATTCATTTCAAGGTTTTATTTGACTTAACATTAAACTGTACAAGTTGCGTTAGGTAGGAAATCGAACTAGCATCACCGTTATAATAGTCAAGGCTCAGCTCCGAGAGATGGCACCACTGTGCACCAATAAATATGAGGAGATGATGCTAATGCGTGTCCACGTGTTTTTGTTATGACAGTACTTCCATGCTTATTTGAAAACGTGTTAACATTGAATTTTAAGTATGAAGTCGTTGAGGCGTCTTGGTAGTTGCTGGGGTCTTGTAGATCGACGTAGAGTCTGGTTCTTCTTCTTCAATTATTTCTGTTGTGTCTATGTCAACTGGATTTTGTGATTGATCTACGTGCGGTTCTTCGTTACACGGTTCAATGGAATGTGTACGAAATCTCCCAAATCAACTTGATGTTTTTGATTATCAAGATTCGGCGCAAATCTTACTTTTTTCTTTGGCGTTTCTGCTAAAGTCGGTTCTGGAGTTTCGGTTAATCGTAGTTGGTATATATGCCGTTTGAAGATGTAACCGTCATCTATTCACTTGACAGTGCAATTGTCCAAATTTTTGATAATTCGAACTTCCATTGGATTTTATAGGTAGAGTAGTTGCGCGCTTGTACGCGTTCTCCCACACTTAATTGACTTGTCTTCTTCATTGATGTTTCAGCGTTCTGAATTTTTATGGATTTCAGTGCATCTAGTTCAATGCGAATGTTGCAGTTTCGATACTGTTCAGCAGGGGTTCTCTGGTTGTTTAAAGGAGTCGCTCTGTACCATAAAATAATTTTTCAATGTTTGCACATTCCTTCCCGCGAATCCATTCCTTGCAAGGTGTTCTGGTGCGATGAACTTGCAAAAAATGCCTGACGTTTTGCAGAAGTGTTGAAAATTTCCACTGGTGAATATTGTAGCATTATCTGCAACTATTACTTCTGGAAATCCGTGTCTTGAAAACATTTCTTGGAGTAATTCGATGGTTGATGCTGAAGATGGCGCTGACGAGCATGGTTCAATTTCTGCCCATTTCGATTTTGCATCAACGGCAACTAAAAAATGATGTCCTTGGTATGGTCCTCCACGGTAGCGAGTAAGTAAAAATTGCATATATTTCGCACAAAAATATGCAAAACATACTCAAACTTTCGAAAAATTGTAAATGAGCTTACTTCAAAATCTATCTTTAAGGAACAAATTTCATTAAGGGAACCATCAATATCTTTAAAATTTGAATTGTAGGAAGACGCCGAAAAACATGTTTAGTTTTACAATTTTCAAAAAATCAGATTTTTCAACGAACAGGAGATCTGCACCGTTTCTCTTAAACGTCTATTACACTGTTCAACAACAAAATTTAATCAAAATCGTTGTAGACATTTTTTGAAAATTTTGAAAATGTACCAGGGGCGTTATGTACAGTACCCCCTAGAATTTAATATCACTTTCAAATTGAAGGAGCCGAAACATCAGCCAAATCGATTAAAGGATATACATTTTGAAGAAAATCGGCTGAACGGTTAGCCGCTAGCGTTTTTCACAGATGGACGGCCGGCCGGCCGGACACATAGACGGATAGACGTTTTGTACTCAATCGATTTTCGGTATCGAGGACCCACAAAACATGGATTATAACTACACCACGTATAAGGGGATTTTTTATCTAAATTTAACTACTGGACTTACCCACTTTTTGTTACTAGGTTCCTCTAATAAGAGTTTTCTGGCAAAAATTCACCGTTTTTTCGCGCATCAAGACTTTTTCTCTACTGCGTAAGCAGTAGCGATACAGTAAAAACAGATAAATGTTTCAAAATATAATTTCTCAGGACAACACCCTTTCCCATTCTAATATATTCTTGATAGACACGAAGTGTCTTTTTATCTTTATTGTTGTCAAGAATTACATTGATTATGGTTTGATACTTGCTCAAAACGTTTATTAGACACTTTTTATACAAGTAAATTCAAAATGAAATGTTCGAAAGAAAATATATTTTCCATACAATTGTGATTTTTGAGAATACCCATGTAGTACTGCATAACACCCCGATAATATCGTAGGTCTGTACTCATTTTTCTAATATGCACTGAGTAATTGTGAAGTTTAATTTTAAATACGAATAACGTTTCATTAAATCGTTCTTTTTACTTCAAGAGTGCGTCTCGACATAATGTTTAATTTGTGTAAAGATTAAAGTAAATATCAATCACTTATTTAATAAGAACAAAAAATGTATTTATTCTAAGAGCCCGTCACAAAACAAATTTGTACTTGTTTTCTGGGCTTTGTATTATAGACGCCTTGTTATATCAACTTGATTTTCTGTGGTTATACGTACCTAGTTGAATAACATGAATTGTAGACATCGTATATGAATTAGATAAATTTTCTTCATTAAAGGAAATTATCATATTAATATAGGAACGAGCTCTAAGTATTGTTGTAGAATATCAAATCAACAAACTATCCAATAGTAATTATCAACCAGATTTTTCTTTTATATTTTCCCTTACTGTCTCCGAGTTTGCAAGACCACTGTCGGTGTTGCGCGTGCCTCGACTCGTGCATGAAAACATGGCGTTTAATATCTAGGGGTGGGTGTGATGGATACCAGTTCCCGAAAAGTGCAAGTGGTGGTGTATTTCCATGTACGTATTTAATGATTAACCGTTTTACGAAGAAATACGAATAATGTGCTGAGTCGTACACACACAATAGATGTCACGATAATCACTGTTTTTAGGGGGATGGATGACTTTGACGGGATGGAAAGCCCGATTGATAGCCTTTTGGAGCAGATAAAGCGAGGTACTAGAGCGATGGAAGATAGGCAACAATCACAATCTACAATTGTTCCCAAAGTGCGGCGAAGTCGAAGTGGTGCAAGTGTCCTGTCAACTGACACGGATAACTTAATTTCAGGTACGCTTGTACCTAATACTAGACTAACAACACAATCAGCTTTTTAAAAGAACCCAGCACTTTTGCATTTGTTATAATGTTATGAACCTTTCAGTGAATATCCTTTTATGTGTTAAATATAAGGAAATTCTTTATTATGAATGTAATGCCAGTTTCAACATACTTCGGTACACTACATGACAGTACGAAAGCGAATCTTTGTTTACAGCAAAAATCGCGCCTAACTCAGAACTGAAAATTAGTGTTCGGATTGATCCCTTTAGTTACTCACATTATCTCGTTTTGTTGTGAACATTCGTTTGTTCGCACGTGTAGATGATATACACAATAGTGCCAAAATTGGCATCCATATGCAGTGCGACAGAAAAGTCAATAACCTGGGAAGGCGTTGGCCCTGCATGGAGCGTGAAATTCGTCGCTCTCGCGAACTGCCCATTGTTATTGTCGGCATTGTTTAGACACAATTAGCTTTTAATAAATTATGCATCAAACAAATGTTTTGAAGCCCCCTAAGCTTGCAAAATAAATTTGGCAGAAAGGTTTTGTTTTTAATGTAAGTGTTGGTAAACATACAAGAATTTCCCGAGTAATGTTCGCGATAGCGTTATCGATTAGTTTTGTTCGCTAACGCAGAAAGAAGTGAGAGATGACAGGACCTTGTCTCGTCCGAAAACAAACCGGCCTATTGAAAGGAAACGTTTATTAAATTAACACTAAGGTTTAGTGATTAACAAAGAACATAAATTAGCCAATTTATAAATAATAAAACAAACCTTTTAAATAATATATGAGTACTTTACTTTTAAAATAGTTTAATAGAAATAGTTTCATTATGAAACAAACGCGGCATGTTAAAGGGCAATATAGAAATAATTGCCTCTGTCCGTGTCATCTCTATTGTACACCATCAGGTATGTAATGAATACTTCGGCCTGCACTATAAATATTAACGATTCTCGTAGGAATCTGGATTTTATCTAATTGTTGCAATTTTAATAGCATCCGTAATTTCCGAATTGGTTTGTGAAACGAAAACAACGATAATTTTATTCGTTAGAGCACCCACAATAAATTAAAAATATAAAAATGTGTATGAAATTAGAAAAAAAGTTTCTTTTTTACGAGACGCTTAATTAAGAATCCTTTTTCATAAATTATTAGCAAAGTTAAGCACATTTATGGTGAATGATGCAAAATTCCTCTTTATATATTTACGTTCTATTAGATCCAATTATTGCCTCACAAGATACTTGTTATGTAAGATTTTTCTGTTAATTGAAAATATGCCTTTAGTTTTACTTTAGAATTTACTTTATTGTAGCTTTCTTGCCACTGATACTTCGATTACATATGAATCACTCTTTTAAATATTGGCGGCATTGTCCGGTGAACCTTCAAGTTACATGTGTTTGTGTTCGTACACAACAGTGTATGAAAACTATAATATTTACTGACGTGATCAAGGCATTTGATTTTGTTTTGTATGTAGCTGTTCTGAAACCTCTAAGGGGTATGTATAAATTTATTTCAAGACGATAGTATCGAAGGAGCAGTGTTTCTACGAACGCCATATTGGAGTGGAAAACCGTATAAGTTTTGGAAAGAAAATGCTCGATTTTTCAATGAAGCGCTGATTAATTTAAGAAGCAAAGGCAAGTGAAGCAAACATTTCAGCTGAATACGTGCTTAGAAGAGAGAAGACAAAAGAAATTCTTCTTATATCTGCCAGGTAAGTACTTCCAAGGAAACGGACATAAAGACGATATTTGTTTGCCGCGTACATGGATATGCCATTTTGAACCATTTCTCCTAGCAATAAGGTTCATTATTGAAAGAAGAAGGCGCTCTTTTCATTTGCCGTGGTTATATGATCCGTCACACGTTTGTAGAATGGATAGTTAAACCCTTTAAATCGGGGTTCAACAAATATCGTTGCTATTTTTGTAATACTCCCGATATTCCCCCCCGAAATACAGATGAATATTCCATTGACATTCTTTCAGAATAAATCTAATTAATTTAATTTATTGACAGCATGGAGCAAGTTGATGCTGCTGAGAAAGAGGCAAGTGAAGTTCTTCACTCCTTATTGTCAGTGGAGAGAATCGAGAAACAATCGTTAGTAACTGATCCAAATAATCAGCAGGTTTGTTATGGTCTCACTTTATTTATAATAATGAAATTAATTATTTTATCATAATTTATTAGCAACTAAGTTGTGAATAAATTTTAAAAGGATGACATTATTGAGGAATGTATTGTGAAACCTGACCACCGTCACAGATTTTGCTTGTTAATTTCAGAAGTTTAATATTGTTAGAAAAGTACATTAGTAATGTGATGATAACTATAAACTGCTTAATGTATATATTACATTCACTTTATATTTAATAGTTTTAAAGAATTCCTGGTGTCCAGCATTGTATGTCTTCTAGAATTTAAATATTATTTAATAGAAATAGCATTTAGGAATTCACTTTCTTCAGAATTTGCATAATTCTTTAACAAACTTATTAGAATACAAAATTAAGTGGATAGTTTATGGAGTTTTAAATTGCCATTTATTTTGACTTGGTTATTAGTTTTTATATTTGAAGACCAGATTTGGCCTTTAAATATTTAGAAAACACGTGTTTCACTGGTAGGTATTAGCAATTTTAAATGTGTAACAATAACTAAATCAATTGCCAAGGTCATCTGGGGATAAGTCTCATTAAAAAAAAACATGGAATGTGACTGATGAATGATGACAGTTATTGCAGTATTATTATTTACAACATCCTGCAAGAATTTCCAGCTTAAGGTAGTTGAATAACTTCTATTGTTATGATATGTATCTGAATCCCATGTTACATGGGTAAGGAATAGAATGAGAATTGATGGTATAGCTGTGGATAGATGATTACAACCATCTACTGGTGGAAAAAGGAAGTGTATGGATGTTTAAATTATTAACCTTGGTATTTAGTTGGTTTTGAGTTTAATTTCTCAATCAACAATACACAGTAAAATGGATATGCACCTGCACCAAATTACTTACAATTATTACATGTATAATCTTAAACATTTGTAATGATTGAAACTTAAATTTCTCAAATTCATTATATAATATATATTCTTAAATGAATTAAGTATAAAATAACAAAGTACATTCTAATTTGTTTTTTCTATAACAATCAAAAAAGTTAATGTTTCATATGGATTTTTTTATTTTCAAGGTGTTCAGTCATAGTAGCATGCTTTCCAAAACTTCAGTACACTTGAATATCTGTAATTGATACTGGTGTACTAAAATCTATTGATATCAATCAACTGATGTTTGGTTGAAATGTTCTTTTTCAGTGTATCCTTTATGCAGCTCCAAAGGTTTTCTATGGGGTTCACATTGGAGCTGTTTCCCAGCCATAGAAGTATGTTAAAATCCTTCTCAATGAGGAATTCTTGTGCAGTTTTAGCTTGAAGGCTGATTATTCTGTTGAGCTTAAACATATTCAGGTCATCAGGAAAGCTGCTGTTACTGTAGTTCTTTCTGAAGAATTTTTAAGTTTGGCGTTGTTTCATTGTTTCCTCGTGACAGGGTGATTGATTTCTGGAAAAACAGGGAAGATTTGGAAAACAAGGCAATTGAAGTACAGGAATTATACATAGAAATGGCTGGTCAAAATTGAGCATGCAACTTGAGCCTGAACCCTGGCAGAAGAAAGATTAATTACAGATGTACCACGGCAAATAGCAAGATATAAAACTGTGTCTTTAAAATGCCATGTATAGTTATAAGCAAAATTTTTCAGGTCATTTTGTAAATAGAAATGGAGCAACAATTACTACGTAAATGGTGGTAGTGGAAAATGATTATTTTGCATAAAATGTCTGATAAGTTTGTGTGGTCAAGGGTGTTATTGGCTAAAATTTTATGAATGGGATAGTCTCTGATGAATTGTAATGAAAAACATCTTAACCCATGTTTTTAACTTAAAACAGATGGTAAAGACATTTTTACCAATATTCTTTACATAAAACAATTAGTAAAAAAATTTTCAATACCACATTTGTTTATTAATCCTAACATCACTTAGTCAATTATTCGTATATAATGCACAAAATAGAGATGCAAACTATTAGGGAGTTAGAAGTAATTCGCTTTTTGTAGGAAATTGCCCAGAGGTTAAAGTATTTTGGCATAATTAGGTGGCGGGGTAAGATTGTAATAAGTGCCCATAAACAAAATTAGGTAATACTACACCGTGAACAAAAATATTGTCTTTTAATTTTAGCTTCCAAACCCCAACTACTGAAGCTATCACTACAGAACAAAAACATTTTTTACAGTTTAATTTTCTGAAGCTTTCGTGAATGGAATACACATTTCTAAATACAGTATTTGGTGTATTTATGGGAATACATTTTTACACATATTTATGAGAATATAAATGGAAAATTTTTCCATAAGTAGAAAGTTAGGTTTTAAATGTTGATTTTTTTAAAAGATTTTTCGAAGTGGTGGCATAGTGGTGGAAATGAATGTAGGGGAATTACTAGTGTATTGATTTATTTGGGCGCATTAATATTCTTGTCTAAATTCCTATTTTTGTCGCAGCATTGCCATTGGATGTGATGTTTTTCAGCATTCACTTTTACTTGTGATCTGGCGTCTGTAAAATTATAGTTCAAAATATTTGTTGTTGCTGAGGTATAGTGTTTTATGTTCTCTTCACAAATCCTTCTCGCACTTGTTGGAGCAACATGTCATCTAGACATAACAATCTTCATACTTTTGTAGAAGCAAGTTGTCTGGTCTTAAGAGTTTTTTTTAAGTTTTCTGATGCCTTGAGAAGAGAGGTTAGGTTTTCTCCAACATTTTCTGACTATTTTGTTGATATGTTTTGTTTTCTCTCATTGCATTGCTGATTCTTCTAAAGGATTCTTGATTTATTGGGTTTCTCAGCAATAAGTCTTTGTGTTTAGCTACCTTCTGTTGGAAAAATTTTAACAACTACAATTTTAGAGGGGGGAGATGCTTACTCTTTTCCAGTTTGCACTTCTCATTAAGCTTTTCTCTCAAGATGACAATGATAAATACAAACTTTTGAATTTGTCTAGTGAAGAAATCGTCTATGTAGTAAATCATAATTTGCAATGTTATCTTTTTTCTGTTTGTAGTACCAATAAAGGTTCCTCTGAAAATCAAATTTTTAATGAAGTCAAAAAAGTGGGCTGTTGCTAGTTAGCTCTTGGTATCTGTATAAAATGGTTGGCTGAGTGGGAAATTTGAACTGTGAGATAACATATGCTGATGCTGTTTTAATTTTATATTCTTCTTGAAAAATAGTGTAATAGCATTTTGAGACGACTGCAGTCCACAATTATACCTCCTACGGTTTTTGTGAGCTTTTTGGGATTGAAAAAATGAGTTGGAAGTCTGCTTTGTTACACAGCTTCACTCATAATTAGAGCCTGGAAATTCAAGCATTTATTTTACCCAATATAGGCAGGCAAAAAGTCACTTATTTTTATTTAAATAGGAATGCAAAAAGGCGTTTATTCTAGATAAAGTAGGGGTACAAAAAGGCATGAAGGCAATTCAAAATCATATTTAAAAGGAAATATTGTAAAAAATTAATGAATAAAATTATTCATGATTTTACTCAAACTCTTAAATTTACATTAGCACTTAATGTGTTATAAAACAGTATTTTAATTTTAATCTTGGTTGCACAATATCATGCGGAATAATTACTACTAATTTCTTTTGCTTGTAATGCTATTGTAAACTCCCTTGTGGATGCCATCAGTAAAAATGGAATTATTTATTTAATTCTTTACACTTGTGTAAGCCAGCACAAAGAAAAGAAGAAGAAGGCATTTTGCCAGACTTCTGAGTTCTACTCATAACGAATCATAATGAATTTCCATAACATATGAAATTGTTAAATTCACTCCTTAACTCCTATATTACATTTTCCACATATTTCCCTTTCTGATAATGAATAACCTTCACCTTGTTAGCCTTTTGTTGCTCAGGATGCCGTAGTGATTCAGCTCATCATGTCTTAACACAGGTAAAATATTTATTAAGATTGGAGGCTGACTGCACATTTAGCATGGATATCATAATGACCTAGCTTTACCTCAGCCATCTGTGTATAGAATTTTGCTTCAGTTCACTTAAGAGGAAAATGCCCAGAAAATATTTTATGTCAATGTGTGGTATTTGAGGATCTGTGTGATTCAGAAACTGCATACATTTTAGAATCGTGTATTAAATGTCCCACTATTTCATTATCTAAAATTAACAATAATTTTGTTTGAAGTCATACTCTGATATGCAAGTACTCAAGAATTGAGAAGCAATAACTTGGTTGTTCAAAATCAACCTTTATATGCTCTTGATGTGTGATTTGCCCTGATTTGAACCCATGAACTCTTACTGTCCCGAGCAGTATTTTGTAATTCTGGTCATATTGCCTTCAAAGGAATCACGCTTGACAGCTGGCCATTTGCTGAGCAATTGGCAGCAAGCATACTAAATGCTAATTATTTTTAAGTGGATTTTAGCTACAAAATGCAGGGGCTGTCGTGGCAGATTGGAAATAGAACATCCCCAAATCTTTCTTTCTCAAATCTTCATCTGTTGAAACATTTATTGTGGATGGTTCTAAAATTATTTTGTTTTGCAAATTAAATTATTATTGGATTTTAAAATGTTCAGAGCTTTTAATAAAGAGAATCCGGAACTGTAGAAAGCAAAAACAAATACTGTATTGATTCATAAAATAAATCATCGTAAACAAGCAACAGCAGGAAGAAATGCATGTTGTTGCTCACATCTGTCCTCAGTGATTCTTTATGGAATCAGAACGTTGAAGATCAAATTATTAAAAACTTATCAGTAGAAGAGGGATATTCACTTCACATTATAGAATATTGTGTTAACATTCATTAATATCTCAAGATTACAAATTGTTTTATTCATAATAAATATGAGATATATCTACATTCATCCATATGTAATCAATGACTTCTGAACACTCCTAGCACACTACTCAGTTTTCAGCCATAATTTTTTTGTGAAATCAAGAATGACACAGTCACATTGATCAACAAATATGGTTCAACACATCTCAATTTTGAATTGTCGTTTAGAAAGTAATGCAAATAATAATTTTAAATGAAATTGAATTTATTTTCTGCAAAATTGCACACATTGTACATTCATACAATAAATATAACAATCATTTGTTCTAATAAATGAAAACAAAAGTATTAATAAACAAAAAAGAAACAAGTAAAACCATTACCATAAGATGCTAAATATCAAAATCTTAAACCAATTAAGAACAATAAACTTTTATGAATACATATAATCAACAAGTTAAGTACAAACTCTTAGTGCTTTTTGCACTTGTCAGAGAGGGACAAGTTATATTTCACTTCTTTTGAGTGTTATACTGGAACTAACAATGGCTCACCCAATCGTCTGGTCTGGCAACCCAAACTGGCAATTATGTGAACCATAGGTATTTTTTATTTTATTTTTTTAATAACACATAATTTTTTGAAAGATCTCTCACACCATTAATATGCACATTTCCAGTGATTTGTAAACCCTATTGTATATGTAAGTTAAAATCCTTCAAATTATTTCTAATGAAGTTTTCTGGAAACTCAAAAATTTTATGTGAAAAATAGCTTCAAATTTTGAATTTACAATAGGGCTTAAATGCCATTTTCTTAAAAAAGGCTCCAAACGTTTCAAAGAAAACTGCCATTTATGTAGAGGTTTTACTGTTCTTTAATATTCTTAAAATAATATTTCCATCTACTATTAGGAAACTGAAAAATTAAGAAATTGTTTTTAAAAAAATGTATTTTGGATGGTGATAGATTGCAGTTGGCAAGAGTACTTGGCAAGTTCGTATAGTTAGACGAGACCAAAGGAAATAGAAAACGAATGCAGGAAAATTTGTGCCATTCTGTAGCACTACTAGTTAGATTTGTGATGTGTTTTAATTAGAAGGGAAACACTGGATGATTTTAGTAACTTTTACATAGAATAAAATAAAAACAAAATTTAGTTGAAAAGTATGATTGAATCATTTCCCAACCTAAAAGGGAGAAGATATTTGAAATTTTATAAAGGTTTCCATCATTTGGACAAATGAGTATGTTAACTGTTCGTTTTATCAGTGTATGTCATACATACCTATGTCATATGTCCTATGTTTGCATCACATATTCATAAGTATATTTCCATTCATGTATGAAAAATTAGTCATATTGGATCTATATTCGAAGTCTTATTACAAATTTACAAAATTTTATCCATGCTCTCTTCCTTAAATCCACTACTACCCATATCTGCTGTGTCATACGCTTTTCAAAATATTCATTATGACCCAAGAATTCTAAAATATGCAATTAAAATTAACAGTATTTCATTTCCTTTACAAACCTTTTGTGGTAAAATTCAGGAGAAGCGTGCTTAGAATGAAAAGATATATTTTTGTGCAAAAGTAATATAAGCCAGCTTACTTCACGGAAGAATAATTTAAGTAAATATGCACATTAGAGAAGTGTCTTTCATTTTTGTCTGTCTAGTTTAAAAAATGTGTCAAGAAATGCCCTACTTTTTCATAAGAATTTAATCATCTATAGAAAAGAAAAAAAACCCTTGAACTATGACAATCTCTTTCTAATCAAAGAATGCTAAGAAATAAATAGAAATTAGGAAATGATGAAATATTCTAATAAAATATATGTCTCTATTTTAAGGAATGCAAAATATACTCCTATAATTATTGAAATATGCACCATCAAGAAAAATTGCCAAATGTCAAGAATTTTAACTTAGCCATGCCCTGAAGCAACGGACAACAATATACACAATCATAGAAATCCGCTTCGTAATGATAATAGTTGAGATTCGTATAATCAGTTCCATTGTTCTAGGTTTTAAAAGTGGCAATACTATTCCCTGGCGGACGCTGGAATGAAATTATGGGAGCAGTAACATTGCCTGTAAAGAGGAAAATGTTGAAGGAAACAATTAAAATTAGCACAAAATTAGCACTGTCACCCAAATAATGAACATTTAATTTCTAGTACAAAATAGGAACATTGCCCTGTGGTGATTTAGATTGGGTTAAATTAGTTAGTAAAAGAGAAGATAGAAATGAAAATTTATCACTGCTTCTTTTCTTTTGATTTTGAATGAAGTTAGATGTGTTTAATCATTTTCTTTTTAGGAAAAAATTACAAAACAAACATTTTGTAAAGTTTTTCTGAAAAAAGAATGCAAGTTCGTGTAAGATGGGGGATCAATTAACTCAATAGTTTCAGCTTGGCTTTTTATAATATTCCTAGGCTCTTATTGTTGTTGTAAATAGTAATTCTAATGTAGAATTAGAGTATTATTACACACGTTTAGTCATTGAATTTGCACATATTTCTTCTTAGGACTAGGGATTTATAAGAGGTTGCTTGAATTTGGATTTAGTGGTGAAACTTTTGTTAAAATCATTCAGCAATTGTATTATGTCTCTTCTAATTTGGAAATGAGATTCCAAAATTAATTAGAAAGAAATTCAAGAAATCTTGTAGTTTTGTTATAGTTCCTATAATAATTCTTAAAAAATAAAGTGTTAAATGTTTTATACATTTATTTTTTAGATAATTAGGATTAATGCTCTATATTCATATCCTTATGGTCAATTTACAGGTGGTGGTTGTAACAACTTCAGATGCAAATCCTTCATTAAATAACATTCAAGGAGACAATGTAACTTCAGAAAATCAAGATCAGAATGCCATTCAGTGGCACACGCCTGTTACTGTTCATCATGCTTTATTTACTAACATGGTAAGCGTTAATCAGACATTATCCGGAGACCAGGTAATTTGGCAGTTGAATCAAGACCCATTAACTTGCAATCAATCACAAAATAACTTGTACACTTCATCAGAGTCTGCCTCCGTTGCCCCTGCAGCAGAAGTACCCTTTCAACAAACAGTGCAAACTGAAACAAGTGTTGACAGTAAATGTATCAAACGAAAGCCTAGCAAAAACCTTGTTGATAAAGGAACCCCTACCAAAAGAAAAAATAAATCTAATTTAGATACATCCCCAGAAAATACTGAATCTTCTAGATTAGAAGAAAGTGCCCAAGAAGTTCGAGAGAGATTTGAGAAAGGTTGTGAATGTCAGGAAGAAAATTGTTTTGTTGGTTTGAATCCAGAATATGTGTATCGACATAGATTGAATATAGCAGAACTAACAAAAGGAGAGCATGATATGTATCTAATGGGTGTGACAATGGCAGTACTTACAAATCCTGAAGAAACAGTGCGACATAAAGAGAGAAGGCGACTTAGAGCTCAGTATGTGTTTCAAGGCAGAAGAGTTTGCTTAGATGCATTTCTATATTTAGAAAATTGTACTCATTATCAACTAAAAAGGATAAGAAAACATGTGATGACCCATGGGGTGGCACCACGTGTGCATGGAAACCAAGGTAAAAAACCTCATAACACATTTCCACTGGACAGTTATCGACATGCAGCTGCTTTTCTTCGTCAGTTTATTGAAAGACATACTTCTGGATATAACCCTCAACAAGTTTATTCTTCCAACAAAAATAAAAAGTCTTCTAATAAAAATGTACTGATGTATCTTCCTGCAGAAATTACAAGAAAAACTATTCATAATGCATATCGTGAATATTGTGAACATTTTGACCCTTCAATTAAGGTAATGGGCTACTCAAGTTTTAGGCAGTATATGAAGGAGCAATTTCCTCATGTCAAATTTTGCAAATTAGAAGGAAGTGCAAATAAAACAGTCAGTTCTAAACAGCAAAAGCAACAACAACCTCAACAACAGCAACAACAGCAGCCGCAGCAGCAACAACAACAGCAGCAGCATCAACAAGGATATTTACAAGAAAATACAACTGATATGTCAGTTGAAATTGTATCTGCCCAAAGTTCGAAACTTCAGGAAAATGTCATGCCTAATCATTCTGAAGATCACCATCATGAAACACCAGCGGCTACTATCATCAGCACAACAGGTGATGTGCAGCAAGTAACTGCTATCCCAATTGTGTTGTCCCAACACAATACACAAAATGATTCTGTGGTTTCAACAACAATGACTCAGTCACAACAGCAGCAACCTACTACTTACATAGTCACTCCTGTTTCACAATTACTTCAGCCATCCATTGGAACAGGTTCTGGAATCAATAGTAACAATGGAAATACATTTGCTTCATATCAATTGACCCCAACCAGCGAGTATACTTCTCAGCAGCATATAAATCAATCTCAAGTGGGAACTATTACTGTAACTTCTGTTCAAAGTAATCCATATGCATTCACTACTCTTTAAGAAAGTGACTGAATGAATTTTTATCATATTAGTTATTATTTATCAGGCTATGTTTATGCTGACTAGAGATATTCTCAAAAGCAGCCTGAAATTTTGCCATATTAGTGAACACAAAACTATTTATTTTTAATGCATTTTGAAAGTTTAACTGAAATCTTTTAACTCAATGAACTGTATATAGGAAGGAATAGTGATCCAATTTAATTATCTTTATTTATTTCATAGAATAATTAATTGTATTCTATATGAGAGTTGTTAACAGATGTTTTTGGGATATAAAATGATACTTTGTTAAGCTTATATTTTCTTAGCTTCTTTTGTAACAGACTGATAAATGAACAATAGAGGCAAAATTCTTAGAGGATATTTGCCTCTCATATCCACTGGAATGTTTTCCTATGCAGTAAAAACAATTATGTTCTTGCTTACTGTGACATTGTTTTAAAAATATAGTTGTGAATAAAACAGACTGTTAATTTTTTTACCTGTAAAAATTGAGTATTAGAGAAAAAATTCTGTAAATAGCTTTTGGTCTCATTTAATAGTACTTTATTTTTAAGTGTCAGTACCTGCAATTAAGCTTTCAAAGCAAAAATTATTTATAAACTTTATGAAATTTCCACTTAATCATTTAAAGTTCCAATTTGGGACACTAATAATTTGGAATATATTCAACTTACTGATAAATCAGCTTGAATTTTTCTGAAAACAGGAATTAAACATATTTTTTTAATTAGAATTTTGATTAATTCTTAAGAAGTGATGTAGGTTTAAATGTTCCCTTGGTCCTGAAAGTTTGTTCAGTTAGATCTAGTTACATGGACAAGGCAAATATAATTCTAGAAAATGGCATTTCCATTCTGCAAATGAGATGAAAGTTGTTAATCTCTTATGAAAGCAAATGTGAAATATTTAAGAAAGGAGAGAAATATGGAGTTTACTTCTACAAAATCTAAAGAGAATTTGTAGTACAGACAGTATGAAGTGAAGGATATTTGTAAAAATTGTTGCAATATACATGTTGAGTTTGAAGTTAAATATAATCTATGTTCTGAACTAAAGTGTCAGGAATGAAGGATAAAAGTTGTCAGTAATCATGACAGAAATTTATTAATGTATACAATTTCTGTGTACTAAGTAGTATTTTAGATTTTTTGACAACATTGCTTACCATTAAGAAATAATTGAGATACATTTACCAAAACTTAAGTGTTTAAAAATGAAAGAATATGATGGAATATCTGTATGTCATGTAGCTCTGTTTTTCAATAGTTCTAAATGTATCTTCTCAATCAGTCTTTGGCAGCAATGTTTTTTGTTGTTGTTTTTTTTTT